GGAAAATCTCATTGACATTATCGAAGTCATCGGGATGATAATAAACAACATCAGTATCAGTATGTTTGAGACGCCAGGCGGAAATTACACTTTCCCCTAAGACAGGTAAAGAGAGAGATTTATGCGTGTTGTTAGCAAAACATATACTCTGGTTTCATATTTCAGAACGGGCTGTTTTGATGTAAAAGCTCAGTCTGTGGAATGATAGTTAAGGTTAGTAGATTCATTTACCTTTCCGTAGTAGATACCATAGTAACAATGAGGTAAGTTACTCTACTAGGTCTAGCAAGAACTAGTATTACTAAATACCACAATTACAGCATAAATTAGATCTTTTATTTGAAAATAAGCTGAAATTACTAATTTACGAATTAAGAGAAGGAATAGTATCAGAAGTTTTAAAGCTTGTAATATATATTTAAAGAACGGAAATCATTATATAGTAAAAACATACTTGTGTGTTCAACTTAACACAGACCAAACATATTCTCCCCATCAAACAAATTGTAGATGAAATGAATACACGAATTGTCTGCAATATTGAAAGGCGTTAAACTGTGAAAGTTTGAATCACCATCACTGGAAAGGGAACTATCACAGCTGGCTATTGTTGAATTGACGCCTGTCAGAGATGTCGTTGTCGGACCCATGAAAATCTCAACTTTATGGCATGGATAGACGTATCTCATTCTGTGTTGCAGGAACTCGGATTCGGGGCTGGCCTAGCCATTGGTGCTGTTTGCATTTGTTATCTCTGAGATTTCACGCATTCAGGAAGAATCCGCAATATTGTTGCTGGAAATCTTAGCATTGAAAATAGCGTTGTTTCCCATTGTGATGTTTCTAGTGGTGATGATAAGAACAGATTCATAATGTGAGCGGAAAAAAAAGTAAGTCACAGAAGAGTTGTTCAGTGTTTGAGGAGTGACATCTTGCCATTTCTTAAGAGATTTTCCGCATCACTTGCTATGAAATGATTTTCCCTTCTTGTTACGAAATAATTGTTCTCAACATATGAAACGTTTTTGTCCGTTTATTATTAAGGGATGATGATTTATGGCAAATGTTCTCGTAGTCTTTGCCCAATTTATTGCCAGGTACTTTCAGATCGATAGAGAGCTTACCAAGTTCCTAAAATTCTGAAATTTCTATCTTTTCTAATATAATATAAATAATTACATATCAACTAAATTAATCATAGCCAAAAAATGCTTTAAAAATGACATTTTCAGACTAATACCACTATCCTTTTGTAGAAGTTTTTCGAAAATTTACGAATCGTGAGATAATGTCTTCATTTTCCAAATATGGTCGTCTGTCTGGGAATGATATTTTCTGTTTAACTTCAGAGTTTATAACCTTTGAAGTTACTTTTCCAATATATATTTTCTTCGTAGTTCAAAAGAGTTCTTATTATAAATTATTAACAAATGTTCGACTACAATGAATACAAGTTTCAATTTAAAAAATTTAGTCCATATCCAGCTTGGAAACCCTATGACAGTAGATCTACACATTTTTGAATTGACACAATTTCTTTATTAAGCGTTAAGAAATACGGCAATAATTTCAAGCCACATGAATGTTATAACACAACCAGTCAGAGATCAAGTAAAGACCCATCTCTCTCTCTCTCTCTCTCTCTCTTTCTCTCTCTCTCTCTCTCTCTCTCTCTCTCTCTCTCTCTCTCTCTCTCTCTCTCTCTCTCTCTCTCTCTCTTAAATTTCGACAATAAATATCACACAACTTTTCATTAATTTTTTAAAAAATTGATGAATGAATGGAAAAAACAAGGAACATTTCTTACATAGAATGTGTTTGTCTAAATTACCTTTGTCCTATAATGCCGCAAAAAAAAGCAAACCCCAAAATGGTATCTTAAGTTTTTTTAAAAAAAAAAAAAACATAATTATCCACCTTAGGTAACGTTGAACGCATGTACGACGGAAGTGATGAAATCGTTCTAAGCCGAAACAGAGTTATTTCTTGCCATATTTTGTGACAGTGTTAATATCATTCTACATTTTTTGTCTAAATAACTGCAATGCATAAACTCAAAGGAAAGAACTTTTGAATGCTTTTTGTTCCTTCTACACATGTCATCACCTTACATGTAATAACAATCCCAGATTTTTTTTAGTAAAGACCAGATATCTCTCTTGTACTTTTGATTTAAAAATGGAAGGAGTGTTATATTGGATTGTGTCGTCGTACAAACAAGTTCATTATGTGATATGGTTAAACAGTAAATGAAGATTTGGAGCGAGAAAATTAACCGAACGGATTGGTCTTTGACTCAGTAACTTGATACTGAACACGATTTGATGTCATTGACGTCATTGGGATATCGCTGAATAATTGAGTAAATTGTCAAGAATTTTAAAATGAAACATTGATAATGTTAGCTTTTGTTTGCTTGTATGGGTATTATTCCATTTGTCGTATATTTGAATAAATCGTACTGGATGCTTTAGAGTATAGAGTAACTATTACTCACTTTAAAAGATACTAGTTAAACCCTTTGCCAAAATGTTAACAAAATAAGTTGTAAAATTATCTTTAAGCATTGCACGGGTGAATTTAAGTTAACCAAAATGTCATCAGATTGTTGGATTAGCTACTTAGCTTTAGAGCTACCCTAGTGACCAAGTGGTCTAAAGTGCTCACCGTTTCGGACCACTGCCATCTCACCTCTGTTTGCGTGGGTTCGAGTCTCGGGTTCGGCCAATGTGGGAATGTGAGAAAGTTTGCCAGTACCATCTCGTGGGTTGGAGGTTCTTTCCGGGTTTTCCCGGATTCTTCCTCCACCATTTATACTGACTTGTGCTGAACAATGGCGTTGAACCCTACAACAACAACATGAACAACAACAACAACAACAAAAACAATAATAATAATAATAATAATAATAATAATAATAATAATAATAATAATAATAATAATAATAATAATAATAATAATAATAATGATGATGATGATGATGATGATGATGATGATGATAACAGACATTATTCCTGTCTAAATGAGAAAAACATGATGTTACTGTATTGTCACGCCTCGAGGCCACATTAATTAATATTAATTTTCGTAAAATATAACTTTCAATGGTCTAAAGCAGTGGTTTTCAAACTTCTTCGGGTCAACGCTCCCTTGGGTATCCTCAGCACCCACTACCTTACCCAGCAAAAAACATTAGTCCTACCGTCCACTTTTGAAACCACTGATCTAAAGCAAGCACTTTTCGTTCTGATTTATTACAATGATTCGATGCATAACATTGTAATAGGTAACAAGAAAATATCATAATACCACAGACTGCATTATCGTTTGATTGATATACAAAGTAAACAAGTAATATAATGAAATAATAGACGTGCATCGATCAAACAGTGAGTAAGCATGTATTACGTGTGTATTAACAGGACAGTTAATCAACAGAACAGTTAATCAATTCTTCCTGTTCTTTCAAAAATGGATATTTTTAAACAAATTATAAATGAGTTACCTCGCTTATTAATGAAATGGTTAGTGTCAAGCAGTTATAGTAAATATTTATGAAGTATTGATTGTCTGACGGCAGAGAAAAATAAAGTTCGATAATTAAATTTTAAAAAAGCGTCTGAGGAAGGCTCATCGTCAAGGGAGATAATTGTTTTCATTTATCCTTGGCAGTATGCTTTACAGAGTATATGACCTTTTGTCACATGCAAAAGTTGTGCATAGCGATGACCAGCACAGTGGCAACATGCCGGAGATATATAGCATGATGTGCCACCCAGTCATATTATCTTGACACAAGGCCGACCAGTCATAACACTAACCTCTTAATACGGAGTTCCTAGCTAGGCAGCTGTTAATTCCATCTTTATAAGTCTTTGTTATGTCTCGGGCGGTGTTATATCCCGCGACCTCCCGCATCCGAGGCGGGACGCTCTAACCACTAGGTCACTAGAGCGGTCTCACTAGTTCCATGTCCTGTAACAAGAATCACAATTTCTATGCGTAGCAAGAAGCAGTATTTATAAGTATTCAAAAAAAGAATATCCTAATATGTTTTTACCCACATTGATATAAATTATCATTGTATGAAGGTACACCTTGCCAGTTCATTTTCATTCCGTACACATTTGTTTTACATTTCCTGAAATCTTGGAGAAATGATAGTGATCTGTAGAAAGCACAATTCGTTTTCAGTAATACAGAATATACAGACTCAGAACAAAACAGACTACTAGTATAGTGGGGCAATATAGTGACAATGAGAAAATACATTACTCCCCCCCCCCCGTATGTATAGCGACACGATTTTTCCAAAAAAAACCCTTGGCCTGTATAGCGACAATGGGAGATTTTTATTAGTGACTAGCACACCCTTGGCCTGTATAGCGACAAGATTTATGATACAGGTGGAATGACATCACGGTAATAGACACTTAGCAACAGTATAGCAATGAGCTGACCTAGTTGACCAAATTACGCGCAGCTAGCACTACAACTCTAGGGAGGGACCATACATACATACATACATACATACATACATACATACATACATACATACATACATACATACATACATACATACATACATACATACATACATACATAGAGACAAAGAACACATAAATCGAGATATGGCATTTTAAAAATATCTTTTTGAGGCATTGAAAGTGGCCTTGAAAAGAGCCTTTCGGTTCTTCTCCTAATTTCTTCTCATTTCTTCTCTTCCTCTGCCAGCTTGTTTTTTTTTTCTCCTACAGTTTTTGTCTTCTTATCCTCCACTGTTCCTTCTTCTCCTCCTCTATCTTTTTCTTCCTCATTTCATTTTTCTCTTCCTTTTCTATTTTTTCGTTCCATTCCCTCATCATCTGTTTGTCTTCTACGTCTTCCTTTCCTTCCTTTTCAATTCTTATCATTTTCATGTAAGATATATTTGCCTCTTTTCAAATTGTTATTTTCCATCTTTACGCGATGTGGGCTATAACACCCATACTCACCGTTCAGGTGGCCTAATGGTTAGAGCGTCCGCCTCGGAAGCGGGAGGTCGCAGGTTCGATCCCGGCCGAGTCATACCAAAGACTTACAAAAATGGTACTAACAGCTGCCTCGCTTGGCGCTCAGCATTAAGATGTTAGTGTTAGGACTGGTCGGCCTGGTGTCAGGATCATGTGACTGGGTGGGACATCATGCAACATGTCTGCGGCATGATGCCCCAGTGCTAGACATCACTCTAAACTGCCACAATGCAGACATAGTAGCGATATGACTAAAAAATTGTTGAAGTTACGTTACAAATCCAATTCACATCATACATCACATCACACCCATACTCAACTCCCTCCAACATGACTAAGGTATCAAATACCTCTTTCAGTCTTAGCATTCTATCGTAATTGCTTGCCATCTTTTATTCTCTGTAGAATGGCACGAATGACGAACGCTATGTTTTTATATATGTGAAGGAAAACATCCCTTACACTCACTTCGCATATTTTATACTATCTCATCAACGAAACGAGTAGCATAAAACACACAAAAATATACTATCCACATCAACGAAACGAGTAGCATAAAACACACAAAAATATACTATCCACATCAACTAAACGAGTAGCATAAAACACACAAAAATATACTATCCACATCAACTAAACGAGTAGCATAAAACACACAAAAATATACTATCCACATCAACTAAACGAGTAGCATAAAACACACAAAAATATACTATCCACATCAACTAAACGAGTAGCATAAAACACACCAAAATATATTATCTACGCCAATAAAACGAGAAGCTTAAAACAACAAAAATATACAATTCACACCAACAAAACTAGAAGCATAAAACATAAAAAATATTATCCTCACCAAGGAAACGAGAAACGAGAAGCTTAAAAAACAAAATATACAATCTACACCAACGAAACGAGAAGCATTTAACACACCAATAGTCTTTCTCACCAATGAACGCGCATGCAAACACACACATACACAGACACATCAGGAAAAGAATGACTGTTTATAGTCACACTGCACTACATACACACGAATTGGCAAATTGAATAGTCTCTTTTCTAGAGATCTGGATAGCCCTGAGAAGGGCTTTTTATTAACTCAAAATGCACCTAGCTAATGGTTACACCTTCCTGGCCTGGCACCACATACACATCGCCGGCTCCAATCCTGCTCCCAATTTATGCGTGTGCCTGGGAGCGCAGAGGGAGGGTGAGTGGTTTCAGATTCCCAGTCATAAGTTTCTGGAATTTTGAAGGCTTGTTCCCTCAGTCTGATCTTATGGAAGACTCGGGGATAATGTTGCACACGTTGTGGCTCCCATTCTTCTCCCTGTCTTTCCAATTCTTGTAAAGCTTCATGCTTTTTTTTCTGTCCGGAGGGGTGTGTGGCAGTGACTCTTGGTTGTGGTTGTGGTTGTAGTTGTGGCTCTGGTTGTGGTTGTGGCTATGGAAGTGTCCTCACCTCAGGTTTGACCTTACGCACTGGTCTTACCTCACTTCTTTCCCTTTTCCTCTTCTTTTTTCTTTTTATCCTCCTCTTCCTAAAATATGGCTTCTTCTTTGACATCCTCCATAGCCAGATCGTCCAGGAGACGTCTGGCATACTCCAGATTCATTTGGAGTTCAAGAAGCTTGCAAATTCTTCCACTTATGTTGGATGTGAACTGGTTCACAATGGTACCTAGACTGTGTGTGTATTATGTATTATAGTCATGTATACACTTTCGTGTTTTATGACTTTAAGCCCTGATAAGGGCTAGTGGCCTCTCCCCCTTCCGGGGCAGGGCACACCCGTGTCTTGGTGCTGACACTTTTTTGCCCCGGCGCATGGGCCTTATACCCCCCCTGGTAGCTCACCGCCATAGCCGGTTACCGCTTTTCAGTGGTAATGCTAACCAGGGAGGTGCTTAGCCTAGTGCTTAGCTTTTAGTTGTGGTGCTCAACCTTTTTATGTTTGCGACCCTAAAAGGATCTTTTTAAGGGCTATTTTCTATTGAAACAATTCAACTGCTTCGTACTCCGGGCCCGGAAAAGGCTAAGGAAAGGATCCAAGAAAGGGAGGTGTCGTAGTTTGGTGTTTTTTTGCATATCGGGCTTGCATACCCCAGATCTGTCACACCCTTATATGGTGTCTGAGACTTTATTTGTGTGTTTTTTGACAGTCCGGGGCGCATTCTCCCTGGTTTGTGGTGGTTGCTTTTGTGGACTGGCTGGTGAGGTGTGGCAATGGATGTGGTGCACGCTCCTTGTTAAGGTGTCGGTCTTTAAATTTTATCTGGGTATGTTCCCGTTGTCTATTTGGGGTGGATATGTCCCTATCTGCCAAACATGTGTGTGCCACATACGTGTCTAATATACCTGAGTTGTAAATTTTCCTATTTGTGTATAGTTTTCCAATTTTGTTGCTTTGCGCATTATATGTTTCTAAATTTGTCCAATTTTTAAGGGTAGAGGTTACCCTTTTATTAGTATATGAGTTTTGTATCTTAATTTGTTGTTTGGGGGTAGTTAGTGTTGTTTTTTTTTTCAATCAGTCCTTCAGGGCCAAGATTTGAGTTATTGTACCAATGAGGACTCCTAGCCAAAGAGAGTCCAGTTTATAGGTAATATGAAATCTTTTCTCTTTCTTCCTTCACTATCGTTAAAACGACTTTTGAAGTACTTTTGATATATTCTCCTCGGTGGAGTTGTTTCGCATTTTTGGGGATCCTGCTGAGCTTTCAGGTATCCCCGGTTTCTCCCCTTTCTCTCTTTTTTTCCGGCCTTTTTTGGGAGTTGGTCGGGTCCAACTCCCCGCTTCGGACTATTAGGCAGTGCTGCCATTTGTTTTTCGGTCATTCGGTCTGTATGGCATTAGTACATCATTTCGGTCTATAACTGGTGGAGCTTCCAGTGTTTGCGTACATTTCGGTCAATATGACGTTATTAAATCTTTTCTTTTATCCCCCACTATCGTTAAAACGACTGTGGTGATTTATGTATTTTTTGTTTGCATGTTTGGGTATTGGTCGGATCCAATACCTTGCTTTATCTGGTAGAGCTTCCAGATCGTATATTGGTTTTTTATCGGTCGGTACAGTGGCAATATATCTTATCATTGCTCCTCTATCGTGAAAACGACTGTGGAGTCTAATTTTTACTTGCTATTACTCCCTGCCTGGCTTGCAGGGTTTATCGGTTCCGCTTCTTTTTTAGTGTCGTGTAATTGTAAGGTATAGTTATATTTTTTCCACCTTCCTTCTATCGTTAGAACGACTGTTTTTTTTTTGTTTTTTTTTTGGTATGTTTTTTTTTTCTTTTTTTTTTTTCTTGTGTGTGGGGCGGTCAACCTCTTCGAGATAGGCAACGTTTTCCGGACGGGGTATGTGTGTGCGGGTTATCGAGAGAGGCACTAGTGCTTATGCTTCTTCTCTTATTTGACTGTGTGTATAGGGTTATTGGGTTTTGTTTTAAATGGTAGTGTTTCCATTTAAATGACCCTTATTTGATGGGAAAGTTTGGGTTTTTTGATTGGGGCTTTTTTTGAGACTTTCAGATTGTGAATCATCTAGTCTCTTGTAAGTCATATGCATGAAATGTACTTCACTTTCAGGTTATTTGGGGTCCTTCGGCTTTTTTGTTGGTAAGATCCTCTTCTTTTATTTGTATTTGTTTACATTTCCTTTTTTCCTTTGGTATTATTGCATATTATTTACATCTATTTTGTAATTGTCGTTATGAAGTTAACTTGGAAGGTGGCTAGAAGTGGTAATAGTAGCTCGACTGAACTGAACTTTTATTATAGTCATGTGTCCACTTTCGTGTATTATGACTGGTTAAAGCCCTGAAAAGGGCTAGTGGCCTCCCCTCCTTCCGAGGCAGGGCTCACCCGTGTCTCAGTGCTAGACACTTTTGCCCCGGCGCGTGGTTTTTTTTAACCTCCCTGGTGGCTCACTGCCTTGGCCGGATGTTACTTTTCGGTAACATTGCTATCCAGGGAGGCGCTTAGCCCTAGGGCTGGGCTTTTGGTCGTGGCGCTGACCTTTATTTGCTGACTTTAAGACCCTTTGGTTGGCTGCGTATTGTAACAGAGCGTACCGGCCTTCTGCCTCAACTCCCGCCTACTAAAGTCCCCAATGTCTAAGTTCACCTAACTTTATCTCAGGTGGATTATTGTCAAATTTAACCAGTTTTTCCTACGGGTGTCCCTATACCAATGATGTGTTAGCCACCTATTCAATTATCCAAATGTTCCTGAGTTGTGAAATTTGAATATATTTTGATGAGGTTGCATTTTGCGTACTTAGCGTACTTATATGGTTCTAGAAAAAAAAGAAATCAATTTCTAGGTGTATGTCATCTAATTTTGACATTTATCACCGCTTTGACAATGTTTGGTTTTTAATTTTGACCGCCTTTCCAAAGGATCTCGTTTTAATCTTGGGTCTTCCAGGCCAAAGTGAAGACATAGGTTGTAGACTTATTTTCGAACAGTTGGCCGCGCGGCCCGGACTGTCAATCGCTAATTGTTCGTCTGTTCCGTTCACTTTTGTGATTGTAGCCTTTACCAGGTTACTTTTCGGTCTTTGTGTGCGTCCGGCTAATCGGTCTACTCCGCTCCTGGGAGTTAGGGCTATCATGTGGGAGATTCCTGATTTTCCCTTATCGGCCTTGACCTTTTTGTCCTTGTCATGGTGGGAAATCTTATCCTATATATAGTGCTTATAGGAGTCAGGATCCACCCAGGCTTGTGCTAGTACGAGTCCTAGCGCCTGTTTTATGGTATGGACTAGGTATGGTGCTTGCAGTTATGTATATGTTTGTATGCGGGGATGGGTTATTAGGGTTCCGATATAGGCTTATTGAATCCCTTTATTTGATACTGATGATTTGTTCTTGTTGATGGTTTGTTGTAGGCATCTCTTTTGATGTTGGTTCCCCCCTCCCTCTTATGAGGTCCTGAATCCTTTCTTCTTTATTCTTGCATTGTTGATTTAGTAATATTGAATGATTCAAAATTATAAGGTTGTTGTCTCGTCGGTTTTGATTGGATGATAAAAGCCGAATTTTCAA